CCTCCACAGTTTAAACACTTTTTAGAACCTTCAAAGGCTTTAATTTCTTCTCTTCTATTTTGAGCTGATCTTACTTTCCCTTAATCATGATCTGAATGATCTGAGAGGTTTTAAACAGAAACAATCCCATAAAATGAACCACATAATACAAAGCCACCTCATAACCTGCAGGAACATCTCAGAAATTTTGCAAAATAAAGTTGGAGGTTCCCAAAGTTAGTGCAGCAAACACTGTGTGGCTTCAGAATGAGACAAAGTGCAGCGAGATTATTTATATTTATAATTTGTTAAATTGTGGATTTCAATGAAGTGTCGGCCCAAAAATGCAGATGATTAAATGATTTTAAAAATGCAGGAGAACTTACAGGTGGCTGAAAAGCAAGGCACAAACAACACTGACAATCAGGGAGTGGTGAGAAGAAATGAGACACAGGTGAGCAGGAGGATGTGGGAGTCAGGTGATCAGAACAGGTGGGAAAGTCTGAGGGCATCTAGTGGACAGGTGGAGAATTGCAATATCCTATAACTGCAGCTGTTTCCACATGGAACAGGTTTCCATCTCTCTCTATCATACTGATGACAGACGACATGTTGATTTTCATTTTTGTAAGTATTGGAGGGTCACACTCAGGCACAGAATATGTCAGGTGATGCAACTGATGAGATTTTATCTGCTATAATAACTTTTACTAAACTAAATTACAGAGCATGCCCTCAGCCAATTCACACCAAATCAAAGCACTGCCGCTGTAGCCACTGTCACTATGGTCCTGTCCTTGTATGCTCTGAAAACTAAACTCACATCATCAGTCCCTTCATGGACTCAAATTCAGACTCTCCTCAGTTCCTCAGAATTCTTTGTGGACGTGACAGTTCTCAGCTAAGAGACAAAAACAGTCTTCATCTTGCAGCACGTTCAGGAGGACAACAGCGAGCAACAATTACAGCCAGGTCAGGTTTGGCTGGGCCTACTCTAGCATCACGCTACTGAAAAAACACTTTTAGAAAAGCTGTTGTCACCTCGCCCGGTGTTGTGTAAACCTTCACACATCTGAGGAATCTGTCCAACACTCACTGTGCTGCTTATTTTTAGATTTTCCATCAAACCAAGAAAAGAGTATTCTTCATACCTGAAGCTGCATTTATCTGCCAACATTAACCAGTGTTTCCACTTGTATCAAAATGAAACCTGGACCGTTGTTTATGTCCCCGTGTCTTTCCTTTTGGCCCTGAGCCATGGTTGAACCACCCTTATGAAAGCTGCGGTCACTGAGCCCACGTCTGCAAACAAACCTCTGCTTATGGTTTCTGTCTCTGTCAAATTTAGCTGTGCTTCCACCGAGGACAATTATAGTGAGAGCAGCGCTGTCCTGCAAACGTTTTATAACACCTGACGTATCTATCAACATTGATATCCAATTCATACAGTCACTGATACGTTCTTTTTAAGAGAGAAAAATGATCCTGGAGCCACACCAAGAAAGTCGGGCTTAAAGCTCCACTGTGTAGAAATGGAATATAATACAGTAAGTGTCAGTGAAGATTCTCAGTCATCCAGGTCATGGTAAGTGCTGTATCGTTGGCAACTGGACTTGCTTGTGTTCCTTGAAGATGTTTCGTTCTGAAGAACTCAAGAAGCTTCTTGGATGAGAGGCGAAACGTCTTCAAGAAACAGAAGCAAGTCCAGTTGCCTACAATACAGCACTTATGATAATACAATAAGTATATTTCCTTTAGTGTATAATCACCTTAAAAAAAGAAGCATTGTGTTTTTGTTACCTTAGAATGTGACATTTATATCTACACAGGGAGCAGGTCCTCGTCACAGATGCATAAATATACCTAGATACTGGACACCAAGATGGCGCATATTCGTCCCAATGGAGTTGCTCACCTGATATCTGATTTATAAATATTGCGTACCCACAAAATGAGGCCTGAAAGAGGCGTAAGCACTTCCAACACATAAGTCTTCAACCTTACATAAATACCACCCCAGGACCGGCAGGGCCACAGATACATACAGTACAGGCCAAAAGTTTGGACACACCTTCTCATTCAATGCGTTTTCTTTATTTTCATGACTATTTACATTGTAGATTCTCACTNACCTTTTTTTGTTAAGTACATAACTCCACATGTGTTCATTCATAGTTTTGATGCCTTCAGTGAGAATCTACAATGTAAATAGTCATGAAAATAAAGAAAACGCATTGAATGAGAAGGTGTGTCCAAACTTTTGGCCTGTACTGTATTAGTCACAAAGGTTCAACAGTGCACATTGTGATTAAATTAAAGTTGGATGCACAAAGGTTTTCACTGCTTCTGCTGCTGTGAACCACATGTTCAGTTTGTCCTCTTCAGCCCTGTTTATCCGTTGACATTTCCATGTGAGTAACATTCAGAAAAGTTTGTATGTATTCCCTTGGACGAAGGTAGTTAAATGCATTTCTCTGTCACTGTTGTTTTTAGTTATGTCATTTTGTTGTTGGTAACCTCTATCATTATTTTGTTCAGTCAAACACTTCATTTTCCTGTTATTACTTTTTGTCTACAGTCATCCGTCACTTGGATGCACTGTGACCTACTGCACCATGAGCTGTCAAGTTGTCATCTGTTTGTTCAGTGAGCCTCTCGGCTTGTTCTAGAGCTCTTCTGCCCTCTAGTGGCAGAAAAAGATGAATCATTGCAATGTATTAATTGTATCCCTGTTTATTGGCTGTGAAACTTTATCACCAGAGTCATGGCTAACAATAACATTCCTACCCACCACGAACTCTGCTGTTAAACTGGAACACATAAGCCATTGTTTAACCTGGAGGAAAGGGGGAGGAAATCCACCCTAAAACTGAACTCACAGTGTTTTGTCTCCTGGCACCGTAAGAGCCCATACTGCTGACAGCTTCACTTTGAATCCCCAAAGACCTGTTTCAAATATGTGGAAAGCTGCGGTATAAAGTAGAAAATGGGACTGGTGTCTCTTCAAAGCAACTTCATCCATCGGTGGTACTTTTGTTTTAAGATGTTCCACGTGTCATTTGTTTCATCATCTCGTATCAATTGTGCTTTAGGGTGGAAGTTCTCTGCAGAAGTCAGAGTTTGGAAAAATGTTTCGGTGTCTCTGCTGCCCCCTGCTGATATCCAGCATGTGAACACTCACCACAAGCACTGACTCTGATCTCCACTGACATAAAGTGAGCTGCAACAGTTTAAACAGCTGTAATAAAAACATCACTCTTCATGTGGGTATTAAACTCACACTGTAACTCCAACAAATTCATTTTGAGGTAATATTAAGGAGTATTTGAGCCCAGATACATAGAAACTTTAACAATGCTGTGGTTAACATGTGGTTATGTTGAGGCACAAAACCCCACTCAGTTATGGTTAGGAAAATACACTACTCAAAAAAATTAAAAACACTTAAATCCCACATCAGATCTTGATGAACAAATTATTCAAGTGGAAAATCTTTACTGATGGACATTGTATAATTTGTTGAGAACAAAATGAAGCAACAACAGTCAGTGGAAACCAAAATCATCAACCCACTGAGGGCTGGATTCAAAATCACACCGAAAATCAAAGAGAAAAATCACAGTTCGATCCAACTCATCATGTGACTCAGGAGTGTGTACGGCCCCCGCCTACCTGTTTGACCTCCTGACAACGACTGTGCATGCTCCTGATGAGTTGGCGGATGGTGTCCTGGGGGATCTCCTCCTAGACCTGGATCAGGAGATCAGTGAGCTCCTGAACAGTCTGTGGTGGTACTTGGCAGCGTCGGATGCACCAATACATAACGTCCCATAGATGCTCAGTTGGATTTAGGTCAGGGGAACAAGAGGGCCAGTCAATGGCATCAGTGCCTTCATCATCCAGGAACTGTCTACACACTCTGGACACATGAGGCCGGGCATTGTCCTGCACCAGGAGGAACCCAGGGAAAGTAGCGTGGCGATGTCTTGGTAAAAGAACAACCTCTTTTCATGGAGCTAACTTGTCAAACTTTGAATGGGCATATCTCATGCCCCGTATGTGGTAGAGACATGAAACTTTGCACAGAGATGCCTCTCCTCATGAGGAACACATTTGCCTCAAGAACCCATAACTTCAGCTTATATAGATTTTCCACCATTTTGAATTTTTTGAAAAACACTTCAAATGGATCTCTTCCTAGGAAGTTTGAGCGATCTGCATGAAACTGGGTGAACATAATCTAGGGACCAATATCTAAAGTTCCCTCTTGGCAAAAGTTGGAAAACTTACTAAAACTGAGCTTCTATAAGGCAATGAATATTGCGGAGGGCGTGGCTCATCACATAAAGGTGTATAACATCTCAAGGGTTTCACCCATCACCACGCAACTTTGTAGGCATATGACCACACATAATCTGAGGGGACCCCTCCATTATTGACCCCATCAAACAAAATGGGGGCGCTAGAGAGCTCATTTCTTATCTAGGCCTAACCGCCATATGGATTTTTACTAAACTTGGTAGATATGTAGAACAGGACGCCTCAAGGTGACTGGAGAAATTTAACTCTAATTGGCAACTGGGTGGCGCTATAACAACAGAAAAATGCTTCAAAATGGCTAAAATGTGACCGATCGCTGTGGCTCCCCCTGTGGACCAATGTTGGTGTTGTTTTCTAATGTTTGGTATGACTAAGTCATGGTATGGTATGCTGTACATAATCACGGAAACTGTCAGTGTGTCATTCTGTCAGTCAGTCATTCTGTCTGTCCCACGTTTTTCTACTCACTGACGTGGTCAATCTATGTGAAACTGCACATAGGCATTGAGGACTGGCATAGGTAGAAGGTGACAAAGCTACCAATGGCTATGGACTAGTACTATGTAACTTTGGAAACGTTGATATGATACATATAGACATACATAACGTACCCTTGGTTTGCAGAAATGTACACTGCCAACATTTTCTTCTGGTGACTGGATTTCTCCTGTCAGTATAAAATAAGTCACAATCTCTCTGCGTCTGTTTGACAATTTTACTGTTTATTATAAGAAAACAAACGGAGACTTGAGAGGGTACAGAGTGAAAATGACTTGGGAGGACAGAACACAAAGTTCCTAACTCCCAATATATTAATATACACAGCTACTAGCCTATGTACAATACATGTCTGAAGCAGGACATCTCTGTTTGAAATGTTCAAAATTCCTGTTGGAAAAAAAAGACAGAAAAAAGCCAACACCTTCCCAGAACAGAAATAATCAAAGAAACAGCTACAACTATAAATTCTGATAGATAATCAATTATCAATAATAATAATTAACACACCTAATCTGCATTCACACACTGAGATATTATAGATCACTTATACTGTACACTGACTCGTCTATCTCTCTAAAGGAACCACAACAAAATACACAGGCTCACTGTAGCAAAGGACTCTGGGAGATTGAGTTTAGTGGTTTCCTCACTTTCTGTCCTCTTGCTTTAAAACAAAAATCCCTCCCCGTCATTTAATTACATCGTTTGGCACAACGGAGCAACTCCGGTTAACCACTTCAATCCCAACTAGCTCCCAGTGCTCAAAGGAATGTCAAATACACTCGATCACAACACTCATTTTCTCTTAAACACACACATGTACACACTCATAGAAGTGTTAAGATACAGTACAGATAAAATAAACACTACTGTAACAACAGAAACACTGAAAGATGCACTCAGACTGAACATATTTGGTCTTCCTCCCTCTCTTTGGTGAAGATGATGTTGATTTGCACCTTTTACACTTTTAAAAATTTGATCCGAGAGGATTGAAAATACTGCACACATGTTACACACTGAGACTAAGAGAGCGACTAAAACATTAAAAGAATGGGACATAAAATTATGAAATTTCAAAACCACTTTTACACATTAGATAATGATGCTGACGACAAAGATTAGCCTTAAAACACATCACGCATCCGTTAGTCCAGTTGCAGTGTTGACCAATAACCTTTACTTTTCCATGGCCGACGCTCGATCCCTCAGTTATCCGGACATTATGGCGAAATGCTTCAGTACATGTTTGGAAAACTCATCATCATCAGTTCTGTAAACAAAACTCTTAAATGCTATGCTGTAAAAAATCAGTATGGATTTCAAGACAGGCCTTGACTCGCACCCTCTTACGGCAGAAAACAGAGGGCAGTAGGACTGGCTGCAGTGATTGGCTGGTTAAAGCAGTGAGAGGCGGGACTTGTCTGATGGCTCCATCTGTCCAAGGTGTATCTGTTCATCCCCCTCAGTCTCTAGTGGCTCATTGGCCCTCAGCTCAGAGGGTCCCTTTCTTACACAGTAGTTCTGCTACGTTCGGCCCAAAATGTACATGTCGTGTCTCGTCTCCACTCGCCGAGATTTTACCTTGATGTGCTCTGATTGGCTGCTGTAGCATGTCTTTAAAATCAGACCAGAGCTAGTCTCATCTTAGTGCTCTCAAAGACAAGACAGGTGAGGAGAATATCCGTCTCACTCCCAATTTGTGAAATAGCAAAGCTTGGTCAGTGGCCCGTCAACGTTAGACATGCAGGGAGGCAAACTTTTGCTGCTGTATGAGACGACCTGCACAGCACCGTGATGACGCTCCGGCAACTACTATGGTGTAAATTGTGAGAAAGTCTCCGGGCAGGAGGGGAGGTGGATGGGACAAACAAACTCCAGAATTTTACACGGGAGCCCACTGTTTTTAGTCTTCTGGGAAACCAAAGTCAATCGAGTTGTTTCAATAATGACGTAGTGTGTTAGCATGTGTTGCAAGCTGTGCAAGTGACGTACATTAGAATCACTTATTTTAAGCTTAACTATGACGTTTTTTCTAAACCTCACCATGTTCTTTTGTGGCCTAAACTTAACGAAGTAAACCTAAAAACAAAGTTTTTTTTACCTACGCTGTAAGTTTATTTTGAAAAGAGACGACGCGCGTAACAAGCTTAACGTGCACGTCATCTCTGAACGTCCAAAACTGATGCAGAAGCAGTTTTGTTCCCTCAATCTAATCACGAGTTTTACCCAGGACCAACAGTGCATCACATATACACGCTAAAAGGTGAGTCTTACAAAGACGCCCAAGGGTGCCTTTTGGCACAGGTATCATACACCAAAGGAAAGAGAAAGCGATGGCATTTGACAACCTGGGATGAAAACATGTTGGATATATCTACAACACAAGAACTAGCTAGCTCTTTAGACAGCTAACATCTCGGTTATTCACCAAAATTATTATCCTACATGCTGCGACGTCCTCGATTTTGTGTGGTGAATAATCTTAATTTGAACAGTTCGTCATTTGTTTCAAAGTTCTTTGATTCTAATGATGAAACTACTGAGTACGGGATTTCAACCCGTAATACTTTACGGCTAGCTGGCTAATGTTTGGGGGCGCAAGCCAAATGCAGCTCCATCAAGGCAGAACCGGGCTGATGGAGACAAAGAACACACATCTACAGGTCTCTGGGCTCCAACATAGACATAGACACACTTAACATACATTTTACAGGCCCCAGCACAAACACAGACACAGGTAAATAAAACCTTGACATTAGATCTTTGCATTAGATACTCCTCTGTGTACCCGTGCTGTTAACGTTGGCTTATTCCCACTGGTACCACTCATGCTACAAATGTAAGGCACTTTGAATAAAAAGATCCACCAACTGGCAGATGTTGAAGGTTCAGTCCATTTACAAAGGATTTCTTTTTTTTTTTATTTTACAAATTTAATAAAATAACATAACTGTTTATCACTTAAATTCTTTATTTCTCTATGGCAACAAAAAAGGCACAACACTTTTTTACTTATTTGGTTTCAATGTGCCGTCACTCGAGATTTTCTCCTTAAATTACCCACCAACTGATTTTCAGTCCTTGAACCATACAGGTTTCATTGCAGCCTGTCGGCACCATGATGTGACCCTCAGCTGACCAACGTTCATATCCACAAAAAAGACCAACAAAAGTGAAATACCGTAAAACAAGAAAAATAAAATAGAATAAAAATCTAAAAATAAAACTACACTACACTTTGACCCTAACCCTAGCTCCAGTGTGGGTTAATATATGAACATGAATAACTGAGAGACACAGACAGTGCTTTACAATATTAATAATAACCACAGGGACAGGAGAAACTACCAAGGCTGAAGTGTCTGTCCAGTTTTTGGCGTCTTAAAAAGCCAAAGAGAAGAAGAAAATAAAGTGTACGGCACCTTTGGCACCATAACAACATGAAGAAAAGATATGTCAAAAGGTCCGACGAGACGTTTTGGTCAAAGGAGCATTAAAGATATGGACGAAACTGTGAAATCAGTAATGATAGAAATCTGTAAAAAGCTTAGAAATCTTTGTTCACCAATGACTGAAAGGTTTGGATCTCCTCTGAGCTGACCCGCCTTGTCTCCTTCCTCCATGCTGTCTCTCAGAGCAGAGCGCTGCTGTGACCACAAAGCAAACCCACCTCCTGACCACAGTTCTGCCATTCCCTCTGACAGAGGCTTTCTCTTGCACACAATCCCAGTCCTCTGTCCTGTCGTGTCAGTCTGTCGTCTTAAAGGAGTCCAGAGATGGAGAAACTCGCCGAGTGGTACTTCCCAGCAGCCTCGGCTCACTGGTTGACATGGGGCCTCAGGGCTTGGTAAAGTCCCTCGAAGGTGGGTCGGTCGGGTATGTCGCGACTCCAACAACGCATCATCAGCTCGAAGAGAGAAGGTGGGCAGAGCGGAGGGCCGTAGAGGAAGATCTGGTGGGGAAATACAGATTAAGAGATCAGAAAGCAAAGAACTGGAGAAAGCATTCCTCAGGTGTACCAACAGAGTCAAAAGAAAACACTGGGGCAAAGGACTGCAGACGCTGACAAATAAGACACAAAAGAATTCTCAAAGCCAGTGAAAAAAATCACGCCCAGACTTCCCAATGATCACTGCAGCAGTGATTGTAGCCAGGCGAAGGCATCGTCATGCCAGGCGTGCTCATGAGCCAATATCTTGATAGAGAATTTCACTTTTTGATTGAACAGCTCTGCATGTTCTGCATGCAAAAAAGGGCAAGATGCACTCAGCTGCAAAATGTTACGGCTGTGTTTGCATTGTGATATCATTCGCACAATATCTTCTGTGAATCGGACCTTGAGACTTGAGAGGTAGAGGTTGCAAGTAACGCACAAACTTTCAGTTCCATCAGCGGCTGCAATCCATTCCTTGTGAATTCACCTGACAGTGTATTCTCAAGCATTAGTAGTATGGCTTGTTTTTCTAAGTACATGTGTCTGTGGCCAGGAGGCGCGTTCATGTGCTTCAGATGGGAAAAGATTATTTTCAACATAGGTCAACATGTCAAAGGATCGGGTCCAGTGATTGGCTGCGGGTATTCTCTCGCCACAATTCGCGGCTTAAAGTAAAAGTATCCCAGTTTGACCGCACCGCAGCAGAATCAAGAAGCAGCAGCTCGGAGAGAGACGTGAGGACATTTTTCAGTTGTTGCAACTAAAATAATTTGACAAATACTTTGCAAGACAGCTCAGCTGCTTCAAACAGTTTTCAGGTGATTTGCCGAGCTGGTTGTAGATTTGTGATACACCACTTGCCTTTGGCATATCTGGCACTCGACTTTTTGGGGGTCATCTTTATAAAACTATTCCACACACTGACTTTTTCAACACCTTGCTAACATATCTATAAAGTGCTGGAGTCATAAAACTAGATCACTCAGTTTAAATGTCCTTGTCTGAGAATAACTAATAATTAATGTTGTTGCATGATGAATCATGGTGCATTATTATTTCTGAATTTATGGGCTATCTGGAATTTTTGGGGTACTGGTATAGAAAAATGGAGCGTTCCAACACTGGTTTAATAGCTGGTGTAAATGTGTAAAACCCAACAGCTCCCTCTTGTGGTGGAAGTGTGACCTGTGATATGTGAGCTGTAAGCAAACCTAACAAAGTTTAGGAAACTTTGGCGCAACACTGGCCTAAATACAGCACACCTGAATATGAATGACATGTCAGATTATACTGAGCTCAGCCCTTTGTGGGTGCGTTTGATTCGTCTCACCTGTCTGCCCTGGTTCCTGAAGAACTCGCCAGTGTTCTCTATGACCTGTTCGTCAGACAGCAGGCTGTAGGGCTGCTCCTTACACAGAGTGAAGATCTCCCACAGGGTGACACCAAACGCCCACACGTCACTGGCCGTGGTGAACTTCCCCTGCAGAAGAGAAGCCGTATTCTATGTTAGGATAAAGCTTTTCATGTTTTAGAATGCAACCCCAATGACCTAGTGTTAAGAGTGTGTTACAATCAGACTGTAGATCTTTGTGAGCCCAAAAAGTTGCATTCATCTATGAACACGTGTAAATAAAGTTATTCCAAGTTTTGGTTTTACTTTAAAATCATCCTAACGAGCAAGAAGAGGTGTCACAGGCCAACAGCTAACAAACACCAGGTGTAAATTATCTTCTCTTCTTTCTCTAGTCCTCTCTGATCTGAACTCTTCCCCTCCCTCACCAGCAGGATGCTCTCCCAGGCCATCCATCGTATGGGCAGCACCGCCCGGCCCTGGATGCGGTAGTAGTCGCTGCTGTACAGGTTCCGGCTCATCCCAAAGTCGGCTATCTTGATGGTGAGGCGGCGGTCCAGCAGGCAGTTCCTGGTGGCCAGGTCGCGGTGCACAAAGTTCAGAGACGCCAGGTACTTCATCCCTGACGAGATCTGCACTGACATGTGGAGGAGGTCGGATAGACTGAGGGAGGGAGAAAAGGACGGAGGAGGGAGAGGGAAGACAGGAGACAATTTTGAATTCATGATGTTGATCACAGTCTGCAGCTTTTATCACGTGTAACTCCAGCTGTTTGCATCAGACACTACCTGAACTGGATGGATTGGAAAGTTCAGACGTGCTCCTGATGGTGTTAGCACGTTAAAACAGTGTGTACCTGACTGAAGGGATGTTGTTGGCGTGCGTCAGCGTGCTCTCGATCTCCCGCTGCGACAGGAACATGTTGAGGTCTCCGTTCTCCATGTATTCGGTCACCATGCACAGTGGGTCAGACGACACACACACACACAGCAGACGGATGATGTTGGGGTCGTTCAGACGAGACATGATCTTTATTTCCTTCAGGAAGTCGTTCCTGATGGATCGACAGAGGAGACTTTTTCAGGTTTCATTTCAGATCCTTTCAGTTTTGGATCGTCTTGATTTTTCTCACACAGATGATCAAAATGTTAAAAAGAGTTGCAGATTTTCAGGTGCAATCTGTGGAGGGTTTCCCAGATCAATGTATGAGAGGAGCAGCTGCTCCAGAGGCACAGACACACACGACACTTTGACTGCACCTGGCACTCTGCTGCTCCATCTGCGCCTGGAATACACTGAGGAGGACTGCCAGGAAACTTACTGAGCATATTCATGCAGGACCAGTGCGAACCAAGATGACAACAAACTGTTATCAAAGTTTCAACTCATGCAAAACACAAATAGGCAGAATTTTGCATCATTGGATCGCAGGGCATGAATTCAGGTGTATTTGCGTCGTTGCAGTGACTATGTTATTGCGTCATGCTCCTAATGACTCAACTTCTAACGAGCACTAGAGACACTTTTAAAGAAACAAATAAAGTCAGAGATCAATGAAAATAAAATCACTGACACACAGACACATGGCGTACCTGGCTTGGCTGGTGGCGTCAGCCCTCAGCTGTTTAACAGCCACCAGCACCGCATGGCCGTCTCTGTCAGGAAGAGGAGACCCCTCGCCGAGGAACTCTGGAAGCCCCTCGGCCTCACACAGGTGGACCTGCAGCAGACAAGTGGGTATAAATACAATACAGAAAGGAAGCAGACTGAGACGGACAGTTTGCTGAGAAGAATCAATACTATCAATACATTTTCAAAAACCTGTCAGACTTTGTTTTATTCTCCAAAATCCACAAACTTTAAAGGATTTCCAGCACTTCCTGATTGGCTGTGGCCCCGCCCCCTGCTCACCTCTCCAAACTGCCCCTCCCCCAGCTTCTCCCTGAAGATCAGCTGTTGCCGTGGGAACTCGGCAGCAGAGATGTCCTTCCTGGTGAGTGAGTCCACGGTGAGGGCGGGGACGGCGTACATGTTGCTGCCGGTGACGCCCTGCAGCCGCACGATGTCTGTCTCGGCGTAGTGCGGTGCGTTGCTGTGGAAACACTGGTGTGGCGTGCACTGGGTGACGTCAGGCTCGGCGTAGCCTCCTCCACACGCTGATGGAGAGAGAATGAAGAGGTGTTTGATTAAACACCTTTTCTCCTGGTCCTCCTTACCCTGAGATAATGACTTCAATAATGTGACTCTTGCTGTGAAATAAACGTCCAAAGGTTGTTGAAAACTGTTCAATTTTATTGGTGAAATTATATTTTTGTCATTTTAGTCTTCAAAAATACTTGAACCTCAAGACTTTACAAATGCCAGAAGAAAACTTTTCAGTATGCATCCACAGGAATGAGAAAGCCAAACGTCCTGTCTGAGTCTAATCTACTGTATCTGACGGATGTTTAAATGTCTGAAGTCACACCTTTCAGCTCTTACCACGCAGCCAGCCTGGCGTCATGTGACAGGAAGTCAGCAGGAGGAGGTCATAGAGAGGATTACCGAGGAGGAGAGCTGGAAGAAGAGGAGGAGGAAACATGGACAGAGACAGAGAGGGCTGGGAGGTAAAGGAGAGAGAAACTGCAGAGTGAATGAGCATGCACATTCAGCATCATCAGGAAAATAAAAGAATCAGAGAACAGAAGAGAGGAAGAGAACTCGTGTAATGTTTTCTGAAGGAAAGACAGGAAGTTAAAGGCAGAGAAACATTCAAAGGCATGCAGGTGTTTGTGAAGGTGCCAGCAGGGGGCAGACTGCAGCACTTTGATGCATTTACTGCAGGCCTCCTCGGCTCTGTCTGACAGCTTTAACAGTCAAGTCTTAACATGTCATCACAGAAGATCTGGAGACTTTTTACAGCATCGCTGATTCAGATTTACTTCCACTCAAGTTTATGTTGCCTTAGATGAGGAAGGTTCTGGATAATTATCACCACATGGTCAATAAGAGGTCGATAAAACATGGACGAGAGAAAGAAGTAAGAAAAACTGGGAGTTTTAAAGGGAAATTCTTAAGTTATTCTCATATTTCTGCTACAGCTACTGTGAGGTCAGACAGTGTGTTTACCTGAGGCCTCTGCACTCTGAGACAGCTCGGGCAGCTTGTTTCTCAGCACCGCCGGGTTCTGGTACTGCGGGTCCAGCAGGAAAACTCTCTCATAGTGAGGGTCAGTGTTAGCGGGGCCTGAGGGGAACAAGACACATGAATCAGTCAAGCACATGAAGTCCAAAGCAGAGTCCTGATGGATGACCTGCAGAAGCTGTGTGACAGGTAAAAATATGTACAGTTTATACATATAAATTCACAGGTACGGGTAAAACTGAACTACACACAGGCAGCAGGTAAGAACAAAACCGTATATTTTATTTTTCAGAATAAAATGCAGAAAAAAAAGCTGTGCAGTATATGTGTAATATTCTAACATCTAAATCACTATTGTCAAGCTGCATTTCCTTTTATTTTGAAAGTCAGTGACACAAGTGTAACCTTTGACCCCGTGGTAACATTGGTCAGCGACGTGGAGGGCTCCAGCCATGAAACTTTGCAGCCCGAGGATGAGGTGGCAGCCTACATGGAGTTGGGATCCTTTGGAGGTTTGATGGTGGTGGAAGGAGCATGCTAACATGTTTCCTAACCTGGCAGTGATTGAATGTTTTCACCATCCAGTTCAAGAACGGAGAACCAGCTTCATGTGAGGGACTGGAGCCTGGGTGTGGTGCAGCTTTGACTTAGACGGGTAACAGGTCTGTTCTGGTACTGAGCTTTACGGATATGGGGGTGCGGGTTTCAAAAATGGACCCTTGCAGGACTCTGGTCCAAACAACCCTGCAGGAGTTTCTCTAAGCAAACTATCTTCTCTCATGTGGTTCAGATATTTGATCATCAAACTTTGTTTCCTCTGTCGTTTAGAAACCCAACCATGGATCAATTCTGCACCAAATCACCCACTGTGTATCACACTGGTGAGCAGTTCTCTAAATAACTTTAACGTTGCCTCTTTGGACATGACAACCAGGGAAAAACAGGGCATGAAAATGGCATATCGTGCAGTACTACCAAGCATTTTGTTTCGACATGGGGGGGCGTATATGAAGCAAAGGTTGTGGGGTTCCTCTCCAAGGAAATTCAGAGCATCAAACAAGAAATTTTTATAAACCACTTTATGAAGGAACTGTCTTTATTTATGTAAAGGAAAACACAAATTTAGATGGAAGGTGATGATTCAAAACATGTCAGAATATCCGCCTCGTGGTTATTTGCCTCCACAAACCTGTCAATTACCAAGAACATAGATGCTTCAAACACATCTCCCCCTGACAGCACAGGAGGTCTGTACAGTCAGCATATTTTCAAGATGATTTCTAATCTTGGATATTCATGACCCAAGGTTAGCGTCAAGAATTCAGTGTCTGACCAAATGTCTCTCCTTCTGTTCTGAGATATGATGCTGAGAAATGGCCAGAAAAGTGTTTCTGCAGAACATTATGATGTCATTTTTGACCTTCTGGATATAAAATGTCATCACTTCATGATGATGAAAGTTATGTGTGGTCATAGTGACCTTTGACCACCAAATACTAATTACATCAACCTTGAGTTCATGTGGACGTTTGTGCCAAATATAGAGAATTTCCCTAAGGTAAGAACAGGGTGGATGAACAGATGGACACACACCTCGAAAACATCATACGTCCAGCTGCAGCTGCTGCCGGTGCTGATACATGAAGAAAAGCAGCTCTGATCTTAATGTAATAAAAAAGTTAATATTTTCTGTGGTTACATTCTGTTTAGTCTGCTGAGGAAAACAAGCAATATATATACGTGAAGGCAGAGCTGCTGTAAAAGTAAGATCATCTACCTGTGGAGGCGTGGCCAGAGCGGGGGGGCACAGGGGGGGTCTGGAGGATGATGGTGTCGCTGCAGGACGACAGCCGAACCGTCACCTCCTCGTCGAGGATCCGACGTGGAGCCTGCAGGAGGAGACAGGGACAGGAGGATCCACTTTTGCATAAAAAGATCTTCTTTATGATTAAAAATTAAAGTGCAGAAGTTGATGAAGAAGGTTGGAAAAATAGTTTCCAGTCAGAGGCGAATGATTTCAAACTGCTGCCTCTCTCCAGTTTTTAATCATTAACACTTTTGTTTCCTGTGTAATAAACACTGCAGCTGAACAAAGCCGTACACTTTATTTACTGAAGAGGAAAATATTGGTCAGTGATCAGGCCGACTGGTCCACAGCTGCTCTGCTGCTTTATGAAGCTCTCACAGAATCAAAACAGTCTCAGACTCGACAGGCAGAGAGGCGAACGCTGAGAACTGAAAACAGAAGATGTGTTCACACCCCCGCCTCGCTGACAACAACTGTGCAAACAGCTTCCTCTGTGTGAGTCTGTGTGTCTTTATGAGTGGCTCCTCTGCTCACCTTCTCCAGCACCTTGCAGACGTACTGGCACCAGAGGATGAGGAAGATGATGATGACCAACAGCAGGATGATGGTCACCAGGCAGCCAATCAGAATGGGCGTGTTCCCGTCATCAGGCGGGTCACTGGCTGATGGATTGGCTGCTGCAGAGAGGAAAAAGACGTTAGAGATGTTTAATACTGATGTCGCAGTTTAAATGTGGTGATGTTTAACTGCAGACTTCTCAGCAGCAGAATCTGAGTATTCTAAAATCCTGAACTGTGTAATGCTCTATTTTAAAAAAAAACACCTTGTGCATTAAAGAAAAGTGTGCAAAAGAAGCAGGAAGTAGGCTTCCTCCAGAGGACTGGGGGCATATCTGCAGTTTTCAGCGGTCCTCTACTACCTCCATGAAGTGGAGAGTACACTGTTTCAAAAATATGTTTAGTTATTTTAAGACCAGCAAACCGTTTTCATATATTTTGGGACTGTCCCAAAGTGTTTCATAATGGAGGGGCATTCACAAAACATGAAGCACATTGTTTCAGACCCAGTTACCCCGGAGCTGAGGCACTTTCATGTCATGAGTCATGAGTTTAAACAAAGGAAGGATACAAAGCTGCTGCAGGACCTCTTGGCAGCAGGTAAAAAAAATCAATCACCCGAAAATGACTAATCTCAGCACTACATACTTTGAAAGTAATAATAAAAATGCATTTAATTTATAGGTGCCTTCAAAGCGCTCAAGGACGCCTTACAAGACACAGCTGAAAAAAAAACAAGCAGCAATGTGTCCATAGATCATAAAGTCAAACAATTCTGTAATATACAATCAAAGTTAATAAAATGACTACACAAGGTATAAAATCATCATCACATATTTAAAATGGAAAAGATGACCTTCTCTATGACGATCCAAAAGATCAAAGTCTATTGAATCCGGGATAAATGGATTGAATTTATAACCTCGTTACGAGCAGACGTTTTACGACTCTACTATTGTTTCACCTTCCTCTCCTTCTCAGTGAGACCTGTAGGAAGTTTACTTACAGAGTTTGGGATGGACAGACATGATGCTTGTGTGTACACATGTATATCTATACGGACGTATTGGAATATTTTTTCTATTAACAAAAAAACGATGAGAAAAACAAATGAAAATATGGGACAAAAAGAAATAAAACTATCGTGTAAACTGAGCCTGCATCACACAGGTGATTGTTATTGTGAGTATTTTAATTATTTTGTTCTGGATTTTTAATATTAAGAAAAATTGTTTTAATGTTGGTGATTATTTTAAGTGAGGTGAGAAAGGTCAAAGGTCATACCTGTCACAGGTGTGGTTGTCGTGGAACTGTCCTCCTTGACTACAGGGGAGGTCAACCCCAGGGGCATCAGGGTTGGGAGTACGGTGTCCTCTGAGGGACAAATAAAGAGAAGTCATTTTATTTGTCTGTTCTGAAAGAAATGGGAATGTGTGTGTATTTTTGTGCGTGTGTGTGTATTACCCGACTGAAAGGAGATCTCGCTGAACATCATCCAGACGTCAGCAAAGTAAAAGCGGCAGCGCAGAGACTTTGCTGTGCGGCGGTTCAGCGGCACGGTGACGTAGCGGGCGCTGGGGTTCCTGTCGTCCAGCACCGTTTTGAACGCCACGGGCTCTGGCTCCCAGCCAGCAATGAGGCGGGGCTTAAACCAACAGCTAACAGTGGAGAAGATCTTCACGCCACGGGCAAACATGTTGTTACTGTGAACCTGGACGGAGGACAGGGTATGTTTTTATGAGTAAAACATTCATTCATCATCTGTGACGACTGTCATTGGGTGAGAGGCGGGGTTTACCCTGGACAGGTCGCCAGACTATCACAGGGCTGACACATAGAGACATGACACACGAAATCCACATAACACAGATACAGGAAATGAATCTAAAGTGGGTCTCTGATGTCAGTCATGAATCAGAATAAAAAATGTTTATCTCTAAAAGTAAAACTCAAGTAAAACACATGAGGAAAACATGAACAGGAAAAGGTTGTGTGGGATCACCTGCACTAGTTAAAGTTATAAAACAATCATCCCGTCATTGTTTCACTAGACCTGCTCTGCTCTACAGACGTGTTCATAAATGTCTAAAGTACGAGGTCAGAACCTTCATGGAGGTGAAGTTCCTCTGCCGGTCGAACACAAACTCCATCTCCACGAATCCCTGAGTTCCCAGCGAGTCGTTCCTCCAGCCCAGGTAGTCGTAGCCGGGCCACACGTGGTACTGACGCGTCAGCAGGAAGTCGTCCAGGCCGATCACACCGTCCGTCAGCTGACCCAGCCCGCCTAACAGCCTCCTATTGGACAAGACAGCCGTCAGTCACAGAGAGCAGGAGACAGGAAACCAAGATGTGTGAGGAGTGTGTGTGTGTGTGTGTGTGTGTGTGCGTGCGTGACTCACCTCCTCTCGTGTGCTCCGTCATACGTGGAGTCGTTGAGGCTGGCGATGGGATAACCAGGCGGCATCATGAGCTGACCCTCCGGAGCGTTGTAGGAGATCAGACCGTCTGCAGGGGGAGGAGGAGGAGGAGGAGGAGGAGGAGGAGGACAGGTCGAAGATTTAGAGTCTTACAGTACGTGTCATTTCCACGCTTCCCATTCATTGTCTATGTAAGCAGCTGTGCAATGCATTCTGGTAGTTGAGGTAAGACTACTTTGAGCAAATCTGGGACGTCCAGTGCAACTTGCTGCATCTAGAAACCACTGAAAAAATGTGAAGCTAACTGTCCGATCTGAACTGAAGACAGATTCAGCAGCTGTGTGGCTCGTTTTCACCTCAAATGTTTTCAGGAACACATTTTGGCGAATTTTCGGTATTATAGTTTCTAATATAGTTTCTAAGTGAGCCGCCATGTTTGCATGACTATGTGTCTGTGTGTCCTACCCTCCCACAGACAGCCGTACAGCTCCACTCTCATGCAGACGGTGGTGGACAGTTTGGTGACCGGGATCAGCCGGACGTAGCGGGTGATGATCGGAGGGTGGAGGTCGTTGATGACAGAGGTGTAGGCGTTTTTGTTGCCCTCCATCACCTGGAGACAAATATCACATGAGAAACATCAGTCATGTGTAACCCTGGAGGAGATCGTGCATCTGGTCATGTGTGAGTGTGTGTATCTCCGTCTGCAGCTATTTGTGCAAACTACTGGACCTATGAGCCTAATCACCGCCATCTTGACTATCATAGCCTGTGTCATAGAAACAAAACCGACACATAACATCATTTTAAAAACTATTTTCTATGAGGCGCTGAGATGAAGCGTTCCCCAGCGCCCTGTTACCGCTTTTCTGCTGCAGAATGTGGACACCCGCCCTGAGGGAGCTGGCAGGGAAAACTCCACCAGGCACAGCTGCACCGTGTGCATTGTCTACAGTGGCTGTGATTAGCGCCGATGGCCACATCTGCAGGCAGAACACAGCAGCTCTGCACTCTACTGAGAGCACTGTCCTAGTTCTCCTGTGGCAGAATAATCTGGTGACTATAACAGATTAATTTAACACTGCTGTGAAATGATTAAAATGATTAAAGGTCTTTGTTTTTAATGTCACAGATCAGAGATCACATTTGATTGTAAATCAAAATACATCCCCAACTTTATCATCTAAACTGCCGCCATCATGAGCTGATTCATTGAGCGACCAGCAGCAGGATTCAGTCCCTCCTCATTTCTAACTTCACATATTCAAATAAAGACGTATCTTGATGTGTTTGTGTGTCAGAGTGTGACAGCAGAGCTCTGTGGAGGGTCTGGAAAGTTCCCTGTGTGAACGTGAGGGAGGAAACTGTTGAGATAAAAACATGACCGGCTGTTTGAACTGTGTCCTGATGGTGCTGCCGTAGCTGTCAGGGACCTCGAAGGCCAACAGGAAGCTGGTGTGTAAATGTCATTTCCTGTGATTCCAGTGTGAATGCCCAGAAGCATTTTCATTTCTTTCTCCCATTCTTCTCTCCATCGCTCGGCTCTATCACTCCCTCACACGTTTCCGCTCCACATTTTCTTCTATTCTTTCCCTCTTCCTGCCCCACTTTTATTCACCATCTCCGTCCAGCCAGTCCCGACTTACAGCGCCCTGCGAAACATTCCTGTCACTCACCGTGTTCCCCAGCCGGTTCCTCCAGGACTTCCACAGCAGGCCATCCCGGCTGTAGTTGAGGCGGTAAGCTCGGGCGAACTCGTTCCCGGAGTACCTGGCGTATCGTCCCTGAGTCCCGACCACCGTCAGGAAAGTCAACCTGCCCAGATCCACCTGAACAACACAGCAGCAGAGTTCTGTCCAATCAGGTGACACGAAGAGAACTCAGAGACTCAAATGTTCTTCTACAGATACTATTCAGTCCATCTGAAGTCAGAAGTATCTTTGGGCGTCGCCCCAACCTTCAACTCACCAAGCTCATTTTGTGAAAACATATTTTGTGTTTGTAGCTTTTTTTCCCCCGTTAAAGGTTTTTTGGGGAGTTTCTCCTTATTCGCTGTGACAATATATAGTACCTTAACCCCCGAGTCCAGAGTTTAGTCACACAGACACTGGACTTGCTTGAGATAATCTGCGCAACTCTAAGAAGAAGAAGAACGGGCCGTGGATGACTGACAAACTCTGTAACCTCGTCAAACCCATCCAGGTAAAAAAACAGAGCTGAATATGTTTCTGTCTTTAGCGGACACAGACCTGCAGGAACTGACTGTCTGAAGGCTCCAGCTGTCCCTCAGGACACCAGGCACCGTCCCCCTCCTCACGATTCAACCTGCAAACACACACACACACACACACACACACACACACACAGTTCATACAGTTAATACAGAGCGTCCGCAGGTCCTGGGAGTGTTTGATCAATAGCTGAGACCTCAGAGCTGTTAACCACAGTTCACTTCCTGTTCATTTCAGGGGTGAAAGTGGCATCACAAAGAATAAAGAGTTGAGCCGAACACAGTGCTGCACACATCCAGACGTCACCAGTGTTTTGACTGCGACTGCGTGCATCAACTGTGTTTTAGTTTTCTACTTTCTTTCATTTTATTTCTTGCATTAAACCTCTGAGTGCTACATAACTAAAAGTATCACGATTATTAGGGATGTACGATAATACTGGCACATCATCTGTATCGGCCAACATGTTTTTTCTTATTTCACACAATGAATGAATATTACATACATTAAAAATCATTGTATTTCATGTCTCCATCTGCTGGTGGGCCGTCACCTTAAAAGTATGCATGAATAATATGATGTTAATTCCACTATAGAAGAGAAGTGATGGTCACTAAATTAGCTTATCGGCCAAATGAGTAGCTGTATGTCAGCGTATCTGAGACATCTATCTTGGCAAAAAAAATCCAGTATCACACGACCCCAACTATTATTCATTATGACACTGAGAAATCTATTTAGAAACATTCATTACTGAGTACAGTTTGCAGTCATCAGAGCAGATCTTGGATTTCTCTACAAATTAGATTTTATTTTACTCTTTCACAAATCTTATTAAACACACAATAACTTTCAGCAGCTAAAAAATGTTCTACATGACATGTTGTCACTTCCTACATGTGCAACTATGAACAGTGGGATCAAATCATATTTTTCCATTTGAGTCAGAATTAAAATTTAGTTTCAAGTTTTGTTGTAAAAACTATAGAAGTGTGTACGACAATTAGAGTTGCAGCGATATACCGCTTTCAAGATATACAGCGGTATAAAAGTTGACAGTTATCATACTGCGTACATTTGCTTGTCAAGGATATTGGAAAAAAAAAATGCAACTGGATGTTGAATCTCGCCTTTATTTTACTTATTTACAGAGGGGAGACTTTTAACACAAACGTCCATAAACAAAATGGTTTCAAGTGTTTGTTCAACCAACATTAACCCTTCTGTTTTCACTCCTTTAACGGTACCTCTGACTGATAATCAAATAAATAATTTAAAATCGTGATACTGTGAAACCACGATATTTTCTGAGACAGTTATCGTACTGTGAAAATCTCAGACTGTTGCACCCCTTGTCCCGATCAACAGTTGAAATAAACAGATATGATTAAAGGTACAAAGGCGTGAAACAACATGTGAATGACCAGTTATTTATATCTTATGGACCAATCACAGCCCTCCTTCAGTCTCACCCACCTGGCGTACTGTGGTCCTGTGGTCTCGTACCATTGGCTGGATGCTGTGATGTCATCATCTTTAATCCGTCCATCCTCCATGCCCAAGGCATAGCGACAGTGTGCTGAACACACACACACACACACACACACACACACATATATATAAACTATCACAATCAATCATTCAAAAACACCAGTTTTACACTGTGTAAACTGTGTGTGTGTGTGTGTGTGTGTGTGTGTGTGTGTGTACCAGGGTCAATCTGTCCGAAGGCTGCTGTGGCTTGAAGGATCAGCAGCAGGAAGAGGTGCATGATGGTCCGCAGATCACACCAACACACATGCTACATCTCTGAGACACAGAAACAGAGATTCAGGAAACTTTAATCATAAATTATATTTTACAGGATTATGTATAATCTCTGACACAGCTGCTAAAACAATACATCTGAGTAATTCTGTGTGCTTATCATCCAGGCAGGAGCGAGGAAGAGGAGGAGGAGCTAAAGTCTGATGACACAAAACTAAGACACAACACGCTCACTCAGGATTAACCCTTTAAAGACCGAGTGCTGGATCCTTGATGTGAGTTATAATAAAGTAAACAACAGAGCAGCACTTGAGTTTGAATTTTTAATATTGCTTCACAGATGTTTCAGGCAAGAAGCCGTTCTTCATCAGTGTGTAATCTGGCAACGTCACAAACAACAGGTGGGGTTAATTACAGGTGACCACGACCAACACAACAGGTAGCCTACCTGCCAGCAGGGGGAGCCAAAACTTTTCTGGGTCAGAGCACTGAAACATGCAACAACACAAAGATGTTCACTTCATAAAAAACAAGCACATAAAATCTCTTCACTGGTGATGACTCATTGTGTTGGTGGTGGTCACCAATGATTAACCCCACCTGATGGTTGTGATGTTGCCAGAATACACACTGCAGAGGGGCGTCTGTGTGGCAATATCAGAAATTCAAATTTAAGTCCTCATCTTTAGTTTATTTTCAGTAGCAGGACACCTCAGACTGAATTAATCCACCTCCCAAAGGAAACAATTAAAGCTGCGTTCAAATCATCGTTCACAGTTTGTTTCTCATCACGTCAGCACGTGTTCACAGTTACGATTTCCTGCAGTTTATTTGAGCTCAAACGGTGATTTTAAAGGAGCTTTAACAAATGTTTAAATGTTGTCATTTTTTTGTCCATATTTCTCATGTTAATTCTTATTCTTCTTTTAATCCTACTGATATACGCACTGTAGTGACCATTAGAGCATAACATATATTTTACATTTCTGAATATAACACTAGTTTATACAGCGTAATGTGACATAATGCACATATTTGTATATTTCTATACACTTTCAGACTCATTTTATTTATTTATTTATTTGTTTTTATTCGCAGCCAGAGGATTTATGAAACAAAAAAGACAAATACTTGCACTACACGTCTGTTTTGGCAGTTACATAGCTACCACAAAGAAGCAAAAGTGCTAAGAGGAAATTCATAAATAAACAAGCCAAGAATGAAACAAGCAGATCAACAACATACAGAGATAAATAAAACTGGGGGAAGAAAAACAAAACACACAATATCAAGGTTTAAGTCGCATATCATTGGATTCATGATTAAGACAGCCACCTCTATTATCTGAAGGAGTATTTTACATTTATCTTCTTTATTGGTCTAGAAATTCCACTTTGAGCAGTTAGGTCCCAAATAAAGGGAAAATAAATCAATCAATTGATTAAATAAAGAACACTGGACAGGTGTTACTTATAACAAACATAGGGAAATTTCCAAATGATAATTTATTGAGTTCCTTCCCCAGTGGCCATATTTCACAGGCATTAATTGCTGGTACCAAAAAAATACATAAATAAAAACTATGTACATTACTGAATAAACAGAAGGAATGGCAGTATTCACAGTATGCACAGAAGTCTCACACAAAGTCTGGTCTTTGGGGTTTAATAGAGTCGAGCCACCCTGACCGTATATTGGTGAATTTACTTTGTTGTGTTCTGAGGAAATATGTTTATTTCTTCATTGTATATATTTGATAAACTTTGTCTATCCAGTCTTAAACTGAGAGAGCCCGGGCACGACATGCAGCAAGCAGAGTTATCAAAAGAGTTTTAACAGGAGGTCAGTGCAAATTTTAAAATTCAGTCCAGGTTTATGAAACATCTACACTTCATCAACATGAAGAACTTCAGTCCTCTTCACAAGATCCTTATTTGACCAAGTTTCTACTGCAGGAAGTCAACTGTGTCCAACTGTCACTGTCCTACACAAATACAGCACGATGGATGAACCAGGATCTGTGTGTGTGTGTGTGTGTGTGTGTGTGTGTGTGTGTGTGAGGGAGTGATTTCACAATGTTATTGCTGTTGGAGCACAGCAGTTTATAAATACTGGACACAAACAGCGGCCCACTCACACAGGTTACGCAACACTGACACACACACACACACACAGACACACACACACACACACACACACACACACACACACACACACGTACACTACCTCTTCTCTGCATCAAAACATTTAAGAGAAATATACTTGTTTGGACGTATAAGCGACGTCTTGTTTTTTCGTCTCTGTGGGTTTTTCGTGTGTGATGTTGAGTTTCTGTTTCAAAACCATCAGGTCGGAGGAGGAAACAGCTGGACGGAGACAAAGAGACACAAAGAGAAGAAGACCTGAACCCAGACTGCAGAGAGGCAGCAGGGTGAGGCTGAGGAGAGAAAACACAAAGAGAGAAGAAGGAGAAGGAGGAGGAGGAGGAGGAGGAGGAGGGAGATAGAGTCGAGGCAGGAGGGGGGAGACAATGGACGGAAGAGGAAAGCAGAGAGAGACAAACAGAGCTGAGACAGAAACTGAACGGCAGGCTGAACATCAGTGTTTTAATCCAAAGTTTCTCCTCTGACCACACCCATCAGTGATGTCATGGGGTCACCTGTACACCGCTGTAACAAGGTGAAGAGTTAAACCACTGGAGGATAACAAAGACAATATGGGGCGAATCAGATCCAGACACACAGAACGACCAAAAGATGCAAAGAATTAACAAAAGAGGCAAAACTGCCACAAATCTGAGTCTCGCTCCAGTGTAGGAAAGGTGGAGGGGCCTTTACGTATCTGAGCCCAGTGTTATGTGGTAGTTTATAAAGTGGGTGTACAGAAGGAGGAGGTGGGTACACCCTCCACTGTACCACTGCCAGGGCAACCCAGTCTCATTCTGAAGTAGTCCAGTACCTGTGCTTGGGCAGTGACTTCTAGTGTCAGACACAGTCGAAAAAGCCGTCCGTTCTGGTCGGCACGATGCGTGGCTGGTCGCTGTTATTGTGTAATGGCACCCAGCGGTGTCTGGGGGAAACATGGCCAGACGACGTCGTAGGTAAAGGGGGCCAAAAGTCAAAGTAGGGCGGGCGGGAGGGGTGGTGGATGAGTCCAACAACCACCGTCTGTCACCCAAAAGGCTGGTGTTTGTTTCCCGTGTGATTTGGCCAGGGGCTCATCAAACGTTTGATGAATGAGGCTTTTCTTTCAAACATCATCTTGTAACTAACGCTGGATTTAGACTGTTGAATATTTGTGTCTTTGGAGACTGTCACTGTCAGATTAACTCCAAGAGACGGGGCAGAGTAGATACTGGACACCGACCAATCAGAGCTCAACTCCTTTTACAACTTGCACAACGTTGTCAGTCCAGTCGCCAAAAAAAACCAATGTTGGCATTGTGCGTTTCTGCAAAACACAGATATGTTTCATTTGTACATTTCATATGTGTCACATCAACGTTTCTAAAGTGACGTAGTATGTGAGCTGAATTTGTCATCAGGAGGTGACAAACAGGGGAGAGCAGTTGTATTTAAGTGAGTCATCACTGAGTTTCAGGCAGTTATCTATCCATCAAGTGTTGGTGTTTTGTAGCGACCTATCGCTTTACCAGTGAGGATAATGACACAAAAAATGGGCAATTTAAGCCAGAACATGATCTTTTCCTAACCATCACCAACCTAAACTAACCACACGCTGACCACAGCATTGTCGGAACGTAAAGTTTAAATGTATCAGCCACATAATGACGTGCAAACGTAACATATCTGTGGTTTGCGGAAACTAATGCCAACGTTTTTCCTGGTGATTGGGTTGAAGGTACAGAGGTGTTCTCACTTCACCGTTCCACCTCCATCATCCCTTCTTCTCTTCTCCATGTTTACAGATGTAGAGCGCTCTGTGCTTGTGACACATCAGTGTTTCTGTCTTTACAAGCTGTGTCACACTTTGTGTGATCAAACACAGTAACTGTCAACATTCGTTTTAATTCCCGACACCCCACGTCTGATCACGTCATAATGTGACCAACAGATGAAATCTGATCTGGATGATTCAGCTCAGGAGACGACAGCAGATGAAGCATTCACACTGACGTGTGCAGGGCTGAAGTTGGACTGAAGTTTGAAGTCAGTCAGTGTTTTTGAATGTGCCTGGAGGTCACATGCAGACTGTATGGAGCAGCCTGAGAAACTCAAACCTGCCAGCTGTGAATAAAACCGTCAGTTGTCGAAACAATCTTTGTGTTCTGACGTCGGATGTGCCCTCAGGAAGTGAGTTCATTCACTTCAGCCGAGCTGCAGCCGCTCACTTTTTATTTTCTGGCGGAGACCAGGAGAGAGAGAGCTTTATGTAATGTGTTGGCTGCAGCTCAGATTCCTGCACTGTTGCTCATCTCTACAGCAAAATCACATGACCAGGGAGAAAACACAGAGAGAGGGAGACAGACAGTAAAAGGCATCAAGAGACACAAAGACAGACAAAGAGGACGACCTACTGAAGAGCAACACCAAGAATCTGTTTCTGGAACCAAACTACATCACAAACTGTTTCCTGTTGGAAGATTTCAGGACATGAAATGTCTCGGAAGCGTATTTAGGTTAGACAGTACTTTTTCACAAGTTCTCTGCAGAGCTACCTCTGAGGTTAACGTGTGGTTAAGCAGAACTGCTCAGTAAATGTCAGAAAAGTCTCCCAGGTCAAAGTCAGACAACTTGACCTCCATTACAGAGTTATGATATTCTTGCTTTCCACCAAGCATCCCTGTCTGCATGTTGTCCACCTCATGTATCCTGCAGAGCCAACTGCCAATTGTTTTTTACACCTTGTCTTGTCGTCTCCCGGTTTATTGTCATTACTGTTAGGTTATTATTATTATTAATATCATAACAAAATAAAATATTACTACTAGTTTTTGAAATTTGTTTTGGGGTAAATTAATTGTTATATTTTTCAAGTAATGAAAAATAACCTAGATTAATCCATAAATTAGCTGTTAGATT